GAATGCAGGGAACAAATGTTTGAAAACCCAGAAGATTAATTATATCTACTCATCGGAATGATGAGAAAGGGCTGTTAAAAATATGTGACCGACATTGCAATTACGAATACTTCTTTGGTATATTAATACGGAAAGTGAAATATAGATAAAAAATTATTTTTTGTATTAAAGTCTGATATTCGTTGGAGAAAAATTTATGAATATTATCAATACTGGTACATGAAATTCTCGATAATGGCATAATATATTTATTATATACCATGGTAAATGACTATTCTGTAATAAGAGTCATTAATTTATTTCTCAATCACATAGATATAAGATATACAAATTTAATGTAACGTAATGCAATGTCGTCCACATAAAATACGTTTTTATAATTATAAAGTCGATAGCAGATAAATAATTTAATTGTTAAATAATTTGCTCGTTGTCAATAAATATAATACATTATATTTATACGAACCTAGCTAGATAAGTATGGAGATTTCAAAATCATAAAATGAAATTTAACATGTGGTTGAAGCATAAAAATTTATATTCCAGTTATAAAGAATCCAGTTTTCAAGAATAAATCTAGTCACACTTTGAAATTCTATAACGAAAGAATAAAAATTATTATAAAAATTCGTTTATTTTTATCAATATTTTGGTATTAGAAATTGAAATTATTTTGTATTATTTAGAGTTTCTGCACATTGTCTCGATTCTTTGTTAATTTAGAAAAATATATTATTTATGAATTATAAATCTATAAAAAAAAAATTTATCATTCACGATTTTATTTAAAAGTCAGATAAAATGCTTTGCATCGAAATAATGAAATATTTAGAAAATTAATTAAAAATCGATTATAAATAGGATTACGTTTTTTCAAATTACCTAGAATTATATCTGTTGTTAGTTTTATATATATTTCACCTAATATAATGATTTTTATGATTCATAATTTATAATTACAATCGTATTAATATTCTCTCGAATTACCCATTAAATAAATTACAAATCTTACTAAAATGTACTGTTACATCCGCCGTTTGATGACATATTCAAATTCTACCGAACAATGTCAATTTTTAAGAATAATTTTAAAAGGATTATTAGAGAGGACGTATTGAATAAATAAAATCATATAATTCTTGTTATAATATTGTAATTATTATCTAACATGTTTATATTGACAGAATATATATTACAAAAAACATTGGTAAGTACATCGATCCATTGTTATAATATAACCGAATAACTGAAGAATAAAAACTTAAAGAATTTTTGCATTACGTTTGTGAAAAGCAAGTTTAAAAACAATTTCGCAAAATTGAAACAAGGAAAAATTATAAAATACCCATATAATCAAAGCCTATGTACACATAATATAGACCCGCGTCCGAGGTAAAATTGCTATTTGGCTTATTTGCTCTCTTGCAACTTTGATGCGTTGCACCACACACTTACTGACAGCATGTCCTGATATTTCGTACAGGCAAGTGCACGTGTGTAGTTGTCTCATCCAGACACTCAATTCGAGAAGTTGAGAGATTCGTAGTAAATCGGCTGAAACATAATTTCATCCCAGTAGATGATTATGCTTGAGAATGAGAGATTTCACTCGACGTACACTCGACATCTTCTCTTGTATTTTGTTACATAATTCTTTATTCATTTTTGATACCCATTTGCGTAATTTTAAGTAAATTTTTATTGAAAATTTAACAAATAATTAAAATAAACGTGTCTTCTTTATAAAGCATAAGAAATAATATTTAAATAAATGAAAATTCATCAATCGTTATAGCAGTATTCGAAAACTCTTTTCAAAGTATGCAATCTTAATTTTTAATATCACATTATCCTCATCTACTTATACATTAAATTTTCAACATATTATGTGAAATGGTTGTGCACACACTAAATATATTTATTTAATAGAATAATTTGTTCAAGATTTAATGCTGAATGAACATTGATGCAAAAAAATCACCAATTCATGGTATATCCCATTTATTTATAAAATCGCTCAATTATAAAATACATATCGTAATCTACATATACCACGTGTGGATGTGCGTGTGCGTGTGCGTGTGCGTGTGCGTGTGCGTGTGCATATGTACGATGTGACTACAGGAAATTAATTACACTAATTTAATATTGAATATTCATGAATGCATTAATGCTTTTATAATGAGAAGTAAAAAACTATTGATTTTATGCAATAAAATTATCGAACATGAAATAGAAAATTCATTATTTATGTATTATATCTAGATTTATTATTTGATAGACATACTATACTTTGAATATCAATTGTATTTTAAACTATATTTAGCTTGATGATTTCAAGAAAAGTTTTCCAAATAAATTTCTATATGAGAAATGCTTTCAAAATACAATATTATAGAAAAGTCGAAGTAAAATCAGAAATCCATGATTCACACATAATTGCAAATAATTATCTCTTGCTTCATGCTCATGCATAAAGCGAATTGAAATATGAATAATTTTTAAACATTTAAAAATTATCAATTCGTTTCTGCAATTTACGTATTCTATAATATATTTGATGAATTTTTTTAAAAGGTATATAATCTTTTTACTTTTGGAATGAAAAACTTGATATTATAAATTACGTTGCTTTACTCTTTAGAACATAGTTTATTATATAAATATATATCTTTGTAAAAATAAAAAATATTTTTCATACATCATTTATAAATAAATACAAATTTTCTGTAAAAATTATTGTGTTAAAATTATAAAAAAGAAACATATTGAATAATATTTCAAAAATTATAAAATAAATAAAATATCAATTATTAAAAAAGTTTTTCTTAATTAATAATATAACTATGAATACAAATAACTAATAAATAATAACTAATAAATAATGAAATATATATCTATATACATATTTCTTTTTATATATTTATATATTATTGAAATGAAAAATATATATATATATACATAAACATATGTATTAATTAATTTATTATTAAAAATATATTTAACATAAATAAATGATTTCTACATTATAATGAGCACTATTCGGTAAATGACATTAGCCAAATTTCATAAATAAACAAAATTTCAACAAAATTTCCTTTATTTAAATATCTGAAGAATGTATAATTTTGGAAAAAAATAGCAAATATTCATCATGTAGTTAGAAAATATTCAAACCTAATATAATTATTAAAAATCAAAAAAAAATTATAGGCACAGATTATAGTAAAGCAATATTATAAAAAGGAACAAAGTTATGTCAGTGAGTAGAAAAGGTGGAAATTTACGTGTAAAATTATTTGTCCGTGTTCGGCAAAAGCATGCATTAACGAGTAATTAATGACTAACGAACGTGTTTCGATTATACTTCTGCTAACTTACGGCATAAAACTCCCGAGTCACTTATCTGCCATTTTTTACTCCGGATAATTTTATTATACTTTTATATAAATGTATATATATTTATGATAAATTTTATATGATTTTAAAATATTTTTGAAATATTGAATTGGAAAAAGGAAAGAGGTTGTTTATTTATTGTTACTATAAATACTGCAATATAATAAATATAATTCTCAGCTGTACACGATTTTTAAATAATAATTCAAGTCTCTTAATATTATTGTTTAGAACGCTGAAACTAAAATATAGTTTTAAATATAGTTAACATTGAATTATCAATGGTAATAATACATCATAATCGATACATTTATGTATCCTATAAATTCTGGATAATTTCATTGTTTCTGGCAACAATTATTGTAGATATAACATCAATTTGGGTACGGTTATCTCACTTTTTCCATCTAAAGACATTGATGCACTAATAACACGTTCCGCTCGTTATCCAAACAAATGGCCCGTCTTCTCTAACAAAAATTTATTATAAAGTAAAGTTTTTTATTCCATTTTTTTGAATCTGAAATAGTATAATTTGAGAAAATATTAAATAATATTCTCCTTTTACATAAAAATGATAAAATTTAATGAAAGATATTATAAAAGCAGCAATTCAAACTTGGCAATTCTAAAATTATTTGAATATTTAAATTGAGCTCAATAAGTCCTTACTAAACGTACTATATAGACTTTTCACTTTAAAACTCGAATGTTTATTTCAATGCATTTGAGGTATTAATTACTTGTTAAAAATTATTGCAGTAAAATGCATAACTTTAAGCCATTCTCATTTTACAAATTTTATGAGAGAACGTTTTCAATTTAAATTCGAAATCAGTCAGTGAAATATATTTATTTTTACAACTTACATTAACATAGTACAATTTTTATATTATTTACATAATAATTTTCTTAAATACACTTTTATGCCGTTTCTAATCATTAGAATTGACTTACCAGTTTTGAAAATTATACTATAAGTTAATGTATGTATAACAAAAAATTAGTTATTAATTTTTAAAAGCCAAATTCTAGCCAAATATATGTGATAGATAATGTACATTTTTTTAAGTAGTACTAACAAAGCTACAATCAGCCTCATAAATAGTAACTCGGGTTGACGAAAGAAATTAAAACTTCGATGTTACAATTCATTTATTCACTTTCATCTTATCACTTTTGCTGAATGAAAAAAAACAATTACTAATGTGTGTGAGTGCACGCGTGCGAGAGCACGTGTGTGTTTGTGTGTCAATATTGAATGAAAAAATTAAATTCTTTACGTAATAAATGTAATTTTTAAATTAAATTAAACGAAAAAAGAATTAATTAGCTAATAATATTATTTATTTAAGTCCCTTTTAGTCAAGTAATGTTTTTCATTTTTACACCTAAAACGCAATAAAATTTAATGATTAACCTTCACTATTCATCATAAAAAATATATAATAATATTTTATCAAATATATAATAATCAATGAAAATGACAAATCATGAATAAATTTATTTATATATCTTGATAGTTGCGTAAATCTTAAAAAAAAAACTAAAATAATTCTGTATCGTGTATTGAAGCTTTTACCTTCTTTCTTCCCCGACAGGTCTTGTGGAGGCTCATCGAGAAGGTAAAATTGCAAGTTTAATCGGAGTCGAAGGTGGACACTCTCTTGGAAATTCTCTTGGTGTGCTCAGAACATTTTATGGACTTGGTGCCCGCTATCTCACTCTAACGCATGCTTGTGATACGTCCTGGTGCGTACTTTTTCTCTACTGCATTACTATATCTTATATTTATGTCATTTGAAAAGAAAAACAAAATAAATAATTCATATTCATAGTTTGAAATTAATATTAAATGTATATTTCAATGCATTCTGCTTCAATATATTACAAGAATTTATTCAAAACTTTTTATTACTTTTTAACTTTTAATTTTGACGTAGATTTTATTTACTGAAATTATGATTGTAAGGATACATATCGAGGAAAACATGGAAAAGTGGGTGACATACTTTTTATTGCATAATTATGAGGTCAGATATCAATAGCATATATTTTATATTAATAACATTTACCAATCGATTGACCAATTATTTTATAATCCGAAATAGTATCTATAGATTAATTTATATTCGATATTTTTTTTAATTTTTATTTAAACTATAAAGTATAGAAAGCTATGAAAAAGCTATGGAAACTTGAATATGATGTAATAAGGAATGAACTATATTGTTTTATTTAGGATAAAAGCAATAAATGAAATTTTATATTACAGTTACTAATACGCAATAAAATATAACCATCAATTTAGTATTAATTTTATGAATTTAATCGAATAGCAATAAAATAAAAGATTAAAAGTCAACCTAGAAATTTAAAAATTCGTTTTAATGCAATTAGTAAAAATATTAGAAAAAGATTAGTGCTTCAATGTTTTTATTGTTCTATAAATGTCAAAAATATATCGACTTCTTTTATTTATAATTTTATTTAGAATATTAATGAAAAATTGCAGGTATGAAAATAAATTTTTTCAATCAACGACATTTTAGTCCCGTCACGTCCATTTCATATTCCGATCAGTTAAACGATTTATAGATAAATCTTTCAATATCGCACGATTTTTAAATTGTATTAATAATTATAGAAATATTAATATAACAATTAAATATAATATTAAAAATTTGATGATTAATCGATTTGTCAAACAAAATATAAATTAAAGACAATTATTGCTATTGTTTGTAAATATATATAATATATCTTTTATTATTTATATCTTTTATCATAAAAGTAATGGCAATTAACGTATTACATTGTATATATGTAATGGCTATACGATTTATTGAATTTTTAATAGTATATTAAGATTTTCTTACTTACCTATTCCAATATAATTTAATCTATTGTTAATTTTGTACGAAACGTTATTGTTTGAATTTAAAATTGAGTAAACTCACATCACCACTTGTTAATAAATATTTTCATTTTGAAACAATGAAATCTTTTGAATTTCTAAATACCAATGTTTGTGGGACTTAGGTTTTGAGATAATAAATCGTTAAGTTAAAGTGGATTCTATTAATTAAGAATTTATTATGATAATAGTAATATAGGAATTTTGTTGGAAAAGATTATAATATTAGAATAATAAAATGTAAGAATTTACATTCGTATTTTTAATTATAACTTGTATTAGTTAAAAAATTCTATATTGGATTTTTAGAAAAATTTTAATGTATTATTTATTATCTATAATACCGCAATATACATTAACTTTTTTTGTTTTTAATAAACTTCCCTTAAATACAACAAATACATGACAATCGTCTTTTATCAGTGTTTATAGATTTTTCAATATTAGGACCACGTACATATATATATATATATATATATATATATATATGTAGATAGATAAAGAAAAAGAGAGATAGTGAAAGAAAAAATTTCGTCAAATATTGCCGTTCTATCTTTTGTAGTAAGGATCGCGAAGGTAATCGCTCCTCTCATAAAAAAAGGAGAGGCAAATATCCATGAAAAAGAATAGCTTCGGTTCCGGAACCCAGGCAATCCTGTAATAAAGCAATCTCGCACGCCATCCATGTTCTTGCACTACGGCGTATCGCCATACCTTCTGACTTCGATAGTCTCCTCGCACTCCATTGAGCGCTGATCACAGTGACTACAGTGTCTGGATCGAAAACCTTCGAAGTTCTCAATGACCTGGTGGCTTGTTCCGTGGCATCGCAAGACTCCAGATTCAACATCCTAAATTTATATTACGACAAATTTCTTCCAACCACTCCACCCTTTATTCGACTTCTGTCTCTATCTCCCCCTCCTTCGCTCATCCTCATCTTTCCCTTCTGTTTCATTCTCGCTTTTCTTCTCCCTTATACTATCTTATTTTTCGTCCAGAGTCAGATAACGATTTTCTAGTACCTATCTTCATTCCGCACTCACCAATACTTTCTAAAGCTCTTGCTTTGTCTTCCTCCCCCGTATTCTTATATACGTTCTGTCATTTACATCCACCCGGTGTTGGCTTTACGACGCACTCCGGAACATTTCCGTGGTACGTTCAAAGCACGAAGCCAGAGAACTGGGTAATAAACATGAGGAATGGCCTGATATTTTAAAATTTTTATGAGGAGAAAGAAGTGGTAGTCGATACAATCTTTCACAATATTATTAACGATAAAAATATTCTTATATAACAATGTATAGAAGAAGCAAAAGTGCAATTAATAAATTACATGGCATATATAATAAAGGAACAAGAGATAATTGAAGGGAAGAAAAATATCTATTATTACAAAATAAGTTCTATTAATTATATCCATGACCAGAAATATTTATTCATGCATTATCCAGACTTTAAATATAATTATAATTTGTATATAAATTGCTCTTTAAAATTAAAAGTTACAGTTTATCATTATATTTATTTATAATTGTAGACTAGAGTTTGATTAAAAATGTTTCAAATCATTAAAAACATTTATATATATATATAAATATTTACATATATTATATTTATATATATATATATATATATATATATATATATATATATCATACTTCTTTGTAGTTTTACACATTGAATATTAATTAATGTTACAGCACATTGAATACAGGACAAAAAATTCATACATAACTATGTACACATGTGCATATACAAATATTTTCTATACAATTAATATTTCTTTTAAAGTTGTGAACTAGATGCAAAAAAATATAAGCAAAATTAGAATAATAAACTTTAAAAAATCATAATAAATTGCTTGCTTGAATTGCATATAATTCATTTTATACTATAGAGTAAATAATAATTATAAAATTATTAAGTATCTATTAGGCATTAGGCGACATTATAGAAATTTTTTTCTAAATATCCACCATCCAAATATAACTTTGTCTTTCGCCATGAATTGTCTATCCCATCAAACCCTCTTTCTCTCTTTTTCTTATACTTTCATTCTATATATACGTATTTACGTATGTATATATATATATATATATATATATATATATATATATATATATAATTTGCTGCTCGCTATATATCGATAGTGACTGTATTCGACTTACTTCTTCATCCATTTTTCATCCTTTGCACGACCTTAATACTCCCGTTTCTCTGCTTATGTCTCCTCTTCTATATCACTGTGGCAAGTTTGTCTCACTTCTGTTGTATTGTCACATTGTGCTTTAGAATTTCTTGCGATTTCCAATTTTTATATACAAGTCCTTTTATGCGAGAAGAAACACCTGGACTTACGAGATTATAAATAAAGCAAAGATTCATTTCTTACGTCCTACATTATACATATCCTGTCTTTTGAATTAATTGTTAAAAAGGAGAGGAACATCCATGACAATCTATAAAGTCAATTCTAAATTTTATTTCACATCTGAATTGAATTTTATGACTATTTTTTAAAAAGAAATTTCTTGATAACATTGTAATTCATAAATAATGTGAGCAGCAAGTTATATTAGATATATAATAAAAGGTTATAACAAAAGGTTATTTTCATTAGTAAATTAAGGGATTAATTTTTTTTTTAATTTATGGAATATTTACTTTAAATTATTATAATTCTGTATTATTTAGTAGTTCTTCAAATAAACAATAGCAATAATGATAATTTTTTCAATTTTTCTTTAAAATCTTCGACAAAATTGATTTATTTAGACATAAGAAATTTATCATTTAATTTACTCATATAATTTACTTTTCTTTACTTTTATTAAAAAAAAACTTATTATTTTTTTTTTTTTTTTTTTTTTTTTTTGACCATTCATTCTTTCTAATATAGAGGTATGAATATTTTTACAAATATGTGGATTCGTCATTAAATGTATTAAAAATCAAATATTTATTTATTGTACAATTAACAGTCTTCGTATGAAGGATTGAAATACATTTAATATGTAATATATATTTAACTGATATAGTCTTATATTTCGAAGATAAGAAAATATTGCAGTCATATATTTTTATATTTCAAAGATATTGTAGAGTTTAAAAAATAGAGTTTCGATAAAACTTACATTAATAATTTTACCTATTAATCAAACCATATACATATCAGTTTGATTTAAAACGTCAGAGTTCTTAAAGTTTTTAATGCAAACTAATCTTTCTTTGTTTGATAATTTTTAAACTATAAACTACAATAATTCACAAGCAATTTAATGATTCATAATTTTGGGAATAAGCAATTGTAATATGACACGATTATAAAAATTCATTTAAGATTCGAGCGAGGAGAATATGTAGTTTTTCGTTTGTAAATGAAACTACATTTACATTAAGTAAATACTTTATTTTACTATGAAATTATATTATATAATTATCATATGCGTACACAAGTGTAAAATCAATGATTTCATGTACAATGCCGAAATATTTTATATTTCTTTGCATTACTTAAATTTCCGATAATTTTAGACAATTAAGTAAGAATTAGCGTTTCATGCGTTAATATATTTTATTAAACGAACATTATTATTATACGATATTTTTATGATTTTATTCAACAATTTATTTCATAAACATTAATTATGTAAAACTATTAGTTTCAATGTTTCCATTCTGTTTTACTGCAAACAATACATAATTACGCAAATATAAATTGGAATAACAGTAGAGTAATCACATTGTCCCAATTGTAAACAGAAATTATTTCCTACGAACTAAATGAATAATGCATTTTAAATTAATTATCTAACAATATTTAAATTTATAAGAATGGAATAAGAGAATTATCGTAAATAGAATTCCGTATATTTTTTATTGAGCTGTTTGAAACAACGTCGGAACTTTTCGTACAAGCGAACAAATTGCCATCATTGCTCGAGCCAATTTAACTCCAATAACAATAGCACTTTCTCTTTCCCATTACATTTACGCCTTCTTTAATCTATGAAATTCACAATGGTTCGTAGTAAATGGAATGGAGCGAGAAAGAGGGTTAAAAAAAATATATACAAGTAGAAGTTACTTGAAGTGCTGCCTAATACACGAAGCATCCACAAGTAGTAACTTGTAGCATATAAAGCAGGTACATAGTAACATGGAAAACAATGTAAGCTTGCATCTATATTCTTTCTTTCTCCCTTCTCTCACTTTCTCCTTTTTCTTGTCAGCTTTACGATAATGCTCGTCTATGCTAGCTGTATGACATCGTAAAAGTCAGAGTGTAGAACATCCCGAGTAGGCGTACTTCGACTTACAGTCCTGAGGTTTTATTGGGACAATATCGAAATTGCCTCAGAACGTGTTTTCAAGACTTAATGTCGGCGCCGTTCTCGTTTAGTTGAAAAGGTGACTGGAAGCTGTACGTGCGATTGAATTTCCGCCGCTCTGATAATCTAGAATCACCACGATAAGTATTAGGGCGCTCGATAAAAACCTTATAATCTCGACCATTTTCCCAATCCCATCATCTTCATGTGAAATGAAAATGTCGAAATTTTAAGCACAACTACGTAATATTAATGCTAGGTAACACTGATTCCAATTCGAGTTTGAATGAAGGGCATTTAAGAAAAAAAAAAATCAGTTTTCTTTGCCGATTCAAGCTTAACATCTATATATATTTTTCAATGAGATAATATAATAAATACAATTGACAAAATTCTTGAATTTAATTCTAATAAAAATTGCAATAAAATATTATTAGACTTGTATTTTGTCAATGTAAAAATTGTCTTGTTTTATTGTTCTTTTGTTTTATATATGTAAAAATTTTAATTACGTGCTTAATTAAATTCATTAATTGAATAAAATTTAAAGCATTTTGATTTATGTGGAATTTTTTTTCCAATAAAAATTTTGATTGAATGAAAATTAATTATACAGAATAATTCTATCATTTTAAAAATTTAGAATAGAAAATATAATATTACAAATTACAAATTATACCGCAATAAAATGTTTTTAATATTTTTTTATGTTGACAAACTCGTACTGAAAATTTTTCTTCATATTCACAACTATAACATGACTTTTTTAATGTCAAAAATATTTAATACATACAAATATATGTAATATTTACCATATAAACTGTTAACGATTCAATCACTTATATCTACAATATTATATTTTATCAAATTACATTACAGTACAAAAGTATTTCATAAATTTTTAGAATGAAATAACTTTATTGAAATATGTATACACACATACACACATGATTTGGTCACTATTATTAATTTATTATTTAAAATATAATTTTAAAATATAAAATAACTTTTATTATGTTTATATCATAAATATCATAGGTTCTCCAATTATGCACTTGCTTATATTACATTCTAGTTTGTCACTTTGTATTCTTAATATATTAACAAGGATAAAATGATATTCTATTCGTAATGATATTGAATGATAATTACTTACATACTATTTCTGCTATTGTTAATTAAAAATTCTAGTTAAATAAGTAATTAACTGTAATAGAATTTAAATGTTTTATCATTTGCAATTTATTTTTAAAGCTTAATATCTTAATTTTAAGATAGATAATTAAAATATTACAATTATATGAAAAGCATCACATCAAAAATATAAAATATTCAACAGTATAATCGTCACAGTATTAAATATATATTAAATCTATTTTACTAAAAAAAAAAAAAGAAAAAGCTATTCATTGATCGGTTAAACAAATCTACATTATATTTCTAATTAAAAAAGATAATGGATCGAAATAAGTTTAGCTATACTTTCTACAATCTCCTATGTTCGTATCCTTTGAATATTCAAATATTTATCGAAGAAGATATTTTCTACAATGCAGAAGTAAACTTTATGCAATTTTTTATCACAATATTGTTACTCTCCATATCTCTATGTAACAACATTTTCGTTTTAATCATGTTCGTGCAAATATAAATATACTTTTATCTAATCTTTTTAACCTCTTACTATATTCGTATGATTACACTATTAATAATCCATTGCCAGACGTTGGAGTTGTAAAATATACTTGACATGTTTTATTTCAATTAGTGACTCCTACAAATGTAATGCACCAATTTTTTTTTTTTTTTTTTTTTATTTAAATGAAACAGAAAATATACATTTTGAAATGCATAAATTTATGCGGATTTTATTTTCACTATTATATTGATGAAGCGAAAATTTTATATTTATTACAGCCGTTTATTCAACGAATTTACTTTCAATCGTGCCAATTAAATTTTATGTAATAAACAGAATAGCATGTTTTTTAGTTAATCATTTGTTCAATTTGTAATTATACAATTCACAATATTTTATAAAAATTGCTTATTTTATATTGTAAGTAATATGCAATGATGAAACGAAAAAAAAAAAAAAATCTAATAATTAGAAATAATTAAATGTGCTAAATTCTTTGTGAAATATAATATAATAGCTATTCAAATGCATAAGTGTCGTTTTACAATGCAATTTTCCATTTCATTAATCATAAGATTATTTGGCAATGATATCTATCATGATAATTTTGATTGATAATTTATGTTTTATTATTATATCTAAAATAAAGATAAAATGATGTATACATTGCATAGGATATTATATACTAAGGAAAAAGAAATCGCATCATTATGTTAGTGAAGAAATCCTTAAAAATCTAAAGAACATGTTTTATTCAATTTTAACTGAGAAAAAAGAAATATCAAATACTGTATTTTCAATCTTATTATAATGATATTGAAAAATATATTTAATTTGACACTTCATACCTGTGATCTTGAAAATATATCTGACCATTCAACACTAATGTCCTATTCAAAATAAAAATTTTGATTAAATGAACAAAACATTCATTAAATTTTTTTTTTTTTTTTCAGAAAAATCTTTTCTATAAAAATATTGAAAAATATAAATGCCTATGAATGTATGATCAGCCTGTTAATCTGAAATACCTTGTTCCCTAAATTTTATCGACTAATAAAATTGTCTGTGGAAAATAAAAGTAACTAATCATTTGCAATTTTAAGTAACATCGAATACAAATTTATTGCACAATAACATTTTAATAATATTATTCTATATTTTATCAGTAATAAATAACAGATTTACTTTTTTCATCAAGGCCATAGTTTTGCTAATGAATGAAGGAATAGCTGTCAAGTGATAATAAACGCAAATAAAATAAATATTTCCCTTTTCAAATTTATGTATTTATGTATACGATCTATAATAATATTGCAATAAATAAGAATGAATATTTTCATAGAATTTTTTAAATCTTTTTTAATTGACGTTAAAATTAAAAATAATATTTATACGTTAGGAATAAAATTAAAAGCACTATAATCTAGCGATTTATTACTGCGATTGATACTAAGGACGAATACGAAAATGTTCACGATTAATACATTAATAGAAATCAATTAGAAAAATAAAAATAATGAATTTATTTAATATTAGAATCTATTCAAAGAAAATTTCTCAAACAAAAATTTGTTTGATATAGCCGAGGTCATGAATCATTAATTAAATAGAATGAAAAATAATTGTGGCTTCTTATAAACATTCAGTAAAAAATCTTCATCGATTCAAAAGAATTTTTAATAAATGATATGATTTTTTTATACGCATTAAAAAAAAAAAAAAAAAAAAAACTCTTCAGTATTAATTTAACAAATATTTCCCCGGCAGGGCAGTTTGTTCAGTTGGAGAGACGAATGCCACTCAAGACTCAACGCCTGGTCTCAGCGAATTTGGAAAGGTAATTTTTTTTTTTTTTTTTTAATATGCTTTTATCTCTGAAGAAAGATATAAGATATCTTTCAACATTCTTCAACATAAATATTATATAATAAAGTGTCAAATATGATTTATAGAAGTGTATTATTATTTTATTTATAAATTTGTTATAAATTTATAAAATAAACCATTTTACATATTGTAAAATAGATAGAAATATTTATATTTCTAATATTACAAATACTTTATAATAATAATAATAATATGCATCAGTAATGTAAAAAGAAAAAAAATATTTATGAATTTTTATAAAAATTATAAATAGAATTACATTTTGAAGTTAACGATCCTTTAAAAATTCAATTTTCACATGAAATATCTCTTTCCTAAATACCGTACAATATTTGATTATAATGATTGCCATTAAATATAAATCTAATATTTATAAATATAAATAATTTTTTATATAATAAAAATATTTTTGAATAAAATAGACTTATTATGTTTGTCTTTAATTTAATGGTTATAATAAAATATCAATAACATAATATTCTTGGTTTACCTACATTTCAATTTCGTATTTCTTATTATTTTAAGAAAAATTCTAATATTATGAAAAATCTAATATCTAATAAAATTACAAGACATTAGTTGACCCAATATTTTCTTTAAACAATCGTTTAAAGAAAATAAGTTGTAGTTACTTAAAGTTATTAATTTGTATTCTTACGAGCTAAGGCTTTTCTTATTCTTAAATAAGAAAATTTGTTTATACTTTTCCGAGATTATATTAAGAAATTCTTATGCACTTATCATGTAAAACGTTAAAAATACATTTATACATTGATCTATATTTAAATAAATAATTTTTAAATAAAAATTATCGATAGTACTTACTTAATACTTTTTTTAATCCATAAAACGCACAAAAATTCTCTTGATTTTTAAATGATTCGCTCTCATTCCAAAAGATAATTTTATTTACAATTAGCTAAAAACATTTAGTATTTATATTTCACATTTTAAGCAACCGATATAAGTTTTTCAATGGGAATAAGAAACTATACCTATACAAACTCGTATTCGTAACTAATTTTATTTCTTTTCTTTTACTGATTTCTTCACTATCCATTATCAATACTCTTTCTCTCTCGCATTATTATCACTATCAATTTCACAGTTTATATAAATTAAATAATAATATTTTTATATTACGCATTAAACTTTTATTATTTTTGAAATAATGATAAAAAATATTTTAAGGTGTTGCTTCTTGGAATAGAATATGGTCTGACTTAAGAAAAAATTTTCAAATCATTTACCCTTTTTATTTTCTCACTTCAACATAACATATAAAAAAAAATCAATATTATTGTACAACTTACATTCCCGATCAATATAACTGCGTTGGATGTTATCTTAAACTAAAAGAAAATATGGTTTTCTCTTTTTATTATTCATGACTATTATTTTGAAATAAATTTAAATCTGTATTTTACATTATTTATAAACTTAAATGCTTGTATTTTATTATATTACATTATACAGATTTTTTCTATTATTATTTAATGAATTTTTGATAAAATAATCATAAATAAGTATTTCTTATAAAAAAAAAAAAAAAAAAAGAAAATTAAGGTATGAAATATTTAAGACAGCCTAAACATTATAACTGTATAATAGATGAAAATGAAAATAAGTAAATTACCGATAATTCACTGTGTAAAAAAGCATGCGAAATAAATAGTTGACAATGTAATGGTGAAGAAAATCGCAATTATGGTTGAAAAATAAAAAGAAAATTTGATCGATTGGCTGAAAGGAAAGAATGACGAAATAAAATGCAGAGTACGTGATTCGTGGCTAAATTTTCATTAGTACCGCATAGCCGCAGCTTCTTCTCTTTTCCCATATATCTTTTTTCATTATTATTTCTCTCGACTCACGCATTTTTCAACTGCACCTGTTAGAAAGAGACCGATATTCGAAACACGTTAAAAATTTAGGGAGCGATCGTGTTATGTCAGAATGATATCTCCCTCCCTCTTTTTCCAAAAACAAATCCAAGTATTTTTCAATAGAATTTACTGTAGAATCATGCTCGCTTCAAAAAATAGTTTACTAGTTTATTCGCGAGACTTGTGAAAATAAAACTAAATCGTAAATTATTTATAAATTAATAGTTCAAACAATTGAGTTCCTAAATCATGCTCGCTAACAAAACATTTTAAATTATCCAAATACAATATCTTCTTTTGTTCGATTATTATTGGCGGAATAAATCGTTTGAATATGAAAATTTTAACCGATACTTGTAAATTATTTCTAATTTGATGTATTTAAGACAAAGCAATATATCTTATTAAAACATTTGATCCACCAGATCTATAAACTATTTCATTATATATATATAATACAGTTTGATATATATATATATATATATATATATATATATATATATATATATATATTATATATATATGAAAAAACCTTAGGCAAAAAAAAAAAAAAAAAAAAAAATTATCAGATTTATAAATAATATATTAGTCCCTTATATCATATTATATATAAAAATTTATAAATATTCGAGCTTTGAATTTAGACTAAATTCTTCAATACGAAATTTCCTTTAATGTTTACATTATATTTTTATTTGATAACTTTCATATGCAATTACATTGAAATAATTATTCTTTTATACTTATATATAACTGACAAAAGAAATATTTAAAAAATTTAATAGTTATAAATTCCATATAAATACTTACGCATATAATTTTTTATATTCTCAAAATTTTTACTATCCTTTGTAATTCTTTAGAATAATATTATTACGGCCAGTATTTTAAACAATATGATCATAGGTAGTATTGTTATTGTATAATTATTTGTTCCGGATAATGTTCAAAAAGTATTTTTCCGTAGCATTTCTTTTGGTTAAATGCTTGTAATAATAAATTTTACTATAGATATATCAGAATATAATAGATATTCAGATAATTTTAATGCACATTTAAATAAGTGCATTTAATCACACACTAAAGTGTTAAATTTTATTCTATTTTTATAATTTCGTAATTTAATTGAATGAGGTTCAAATATGAATGATTTTTTTTCAATTTTAAAATAAAAATGACACTATAAATAAATATAAATACAAAATGATAGAATAATTTACTGAATCTTTTATAACAAAAAACATGCAATAATTCGTTTTAAATTTAAATTCTAATAATTGTAGAATAAAAATAAATATTATATAAAATTTTTTTTAGTTGATATAATAATTACAATTTCATTTTTAGATATATATATATATATATATATATTTAATTTCTCTTTTTTAATTAATCAATTACAGCTCAATTATCAGCAATTCTATATTAAATCTTAACAATTATTCAGAGTTTATGATGAAATTATAATTTTCCACCAACAAATTTATTTCGCTTTATTTAAAAAAACTGAAAAAAAATGCTTAAAAACTGTTATTTCTATTTCCTATTTTGCACTATATATATATATATATATATATATGCGCGTATGTGTGTACTTTATATCAATTTAATACATACCTAACATTGACATATGAAATTGTATATCATATTATTGTGGATATGTAAATATGATTTAATTAAAAAAAATATCCTTATTTAGTACGTAAATTATATGTAAAAACATCAAATGCCTTTGATACATATTTTTAGTTTTAATATAAGCAATCGTATTTCTTTACTTATTTCAGTTACATAAATATCTTATTTCTATATTATTAAATAAATATTTCATGATGTGAACATCATTAAATTTATGAAAAGAATTTTTAATATTATCATTCAAATCTAGAGCATTATCGTAATAAAATAAGAAAATTATTCTTGATCAAACATTACTTCAATTTCTACATATTATTCAATAAATTATTTTGTATCAATGTTGACAATATAATAACTTTAAAATCTCTTCAATTTATTCAATTTTCTGGAGTAATCATGTTATTTTCAATTTTAAATTGATAAATTGATAGTGGCATAGAAAGTAAAATAAAAGCTCTCGTATATTCATCTATACGAATTGCATTAAGATGTCTTAAGTTACGTAGTTATATCGAATTTAATTGAAATTAACATTAAAAATCTTGAAAATAAGGTAATTATCAAACCGGAAATTATTGGCATTTATAAGAATCATAAATATCTTATCATTTTAATAAATTAATTGGGCAGATATAGTCTTTGAATGTCAATTAGAGCACATAAATAATTGTAGTTTCTGTATGTATTTTCTTAATTGTCATTTTATTGTTTTTTATAAATGGATTAATATTTTTCCATTGCTGGCTGTATTTTACAATACAAATATATCAGTTATACACATACTAAAACACTGTCCATTTCTCTACTCTAAACAATTTTATAAATAGTTGATTTCATATGTACAAGCCTCCGACCTATTGATTTTGTAAACAAAATGGTAATTTTTAACGATAATTTTTTTTTTATCATAGATGAGGAACCGTCACTGATTATTATTTTTTCCATTTATTCTTATTTCAGAATTATTATGTAATATCATTTTAAAAAGTATTATTTAAAAAATGTTCGTACAGTATTCAGTATTTTGTAATTCGTTTCATATTTGTTAAACTATGAAAGAAATATAAACAATATATATATATATATATATATAGATATATATATATATATATATATTTATTTGCTGAAAAAACAAGAACGGATTAGAGAATGCAAACAATTGCAATTCAACATTAAATTGTACGAAAATAAAAATTAACTTAAAATTTAAAATTGATTCATCAAATACTTATTATTTTTTGTTTATTGATTTATTATCTCATTTTATTATATTGTATTTATGTTTTTATATTACAGACATTTATTAATAATATATTGGTATAAACGTATTCAAAAATAAATACGGAAAAATGTAATCCAACCTGTAAAATATATTACAAAATGATGAAATATATTACAAAACAATTCATTTTAATTAAAAGTTTAT